TGCAACCTCTGCCTCCTGGGTTCAAGTGATTCTCTGCCTCAGTCCCTCAAGTAGTTGGGACTGCAGGTGCACCCCACCATGCCCTGCTAAATTTTGTATTTTTATTAGAGACAGGATTTCACCATGTTGGCCGGGCCAGTCTCAAACTCTTGACCTCGAGTGATCCATTCGCCTCAACCTCCCAAAGTGCTGGAATTATAAGTGTGAGCCACTGCGCCTGGCCTCCCTCAGTTACCTTAGAATTCATTGCTCTCCACTCTGGCAGAGGGGAATGGAAGTATGGAGAATGGCCATTCTCTTGGAACTGCCCTTTTTCCCTCTAGTTACATTGGTAAGAGTCAGTGGCATGATCCCACCTCAATCCATGGGGCTGAGAAAGGGGAGACGTGTGAGTGTGCAGGGGCGCAGGAAGATTCTGCCTCAGTGAGTGTGGAAGGGACCAGAAGGGGCTGTGCCATCCGGCCTAGGTACTGACTGCCAGCTTCTTTTGAGACTGGACATTGTCTTGGGTCATGCATGCAGCTATTCCGGGGTCCAAGTATCTTAAGATTCTGGAACAAAAAAAAGGAAAGTCATGGCTACAGAGAGATGTCCTTGACATCTGACAAAACAAGTCTTATGAATATGTGAGGCCACACTAGCAACCAACTGGTATTGCTGTTTCCCTTCCTACCCCATGTGCTGGCAGAGTCCATTGCAATATCCACTTGATGGAGGCAGAGCTGCTCGTTTTCCAGGTGCCCTCCTGGTGAGGGCGTGCGTCTCCCTTCTGTAGCGTTCACTCTCTACACTGGGCTCAACAAGGGTAAGTGCAAGGGCAGCCGTGACGCAGTAGTGCATCTGCCTTCTACGATATGGAAACCATGGCCTCGTTCCTTGCTACTCAAGCTGTGGTCCTCAGACCAGCAGCATCAGCATCACCAGGCAGCTTGTTAGCAGTACAGAAATTTGGGCCCCACCTGAGCCTAATAAACAAGACTTGGTGTTTTTTTAGCAAGTGCCCCTGGTGAGTTCTTCTATGCATATTACAGTTTGAGAAGCAGAGATCTATAGAATGTGTTAATTCCAGAGCAAGCTGGATAAGAACGGTAGATTAATGTCTAACTTGGACAGTGTTGATCGTAATTCCCAAGGGGAACCAGGCAGACCAGAGTTAATCTGAATTTAAGAAGAACCAGACATAAAGACGGACGTGCACAGCAGGCAAGAACAACTTGGAAACTCGAGAACCCTTTTCACAGTCTATTGAGTCCTTGGCTGAATTATAATGATGAATGAGTTCCTTATAGGAGTATGAGAGTGCAAATGTGCACACAGGTAGACATTCACACGCTTTCATTTGGCAAAGCACCTGAAATCGGGATCAGCATTCTGACTTTACTGTAAGACAAGCTGCAGAGTCACAGCCTGTAACATGGAGTGCTGTTCTGGAATCGGCGCATCTTTCTGGGAATGTGAAAACCTAAGATCTGAAAGATGAAAGCAGAAACGTTAGAAATCATTGGTCAATGGCACCAGGCTGTGGTTTTTTTTTTTTTTTTTTCCTCCCAGGCCTGTTCAACCCTTGAGTCTTACCAGAGGAACCCTCTAATGTGATTTAGTACTCAAGAGCCCAACTGTAGCAATTAAAGTGGATAACAGAAACTCAAACAAACCTTCATTAATAACTTAATTAAATCTGCCTGGGATATCATTTTCCATGGCTGTTCAAATTTAGTCGTATAAGAATGGCACTCTCTACTGGGTACAAAAAAGTAAACACTGATATCACTTATCATTCTCATCAGGTTGACTGGAAAGGAATCATTCCTAAGGATCTTTCAAGATGGCAAGTAAGATGCTATGTTTGGGTGGGTTTTTTCTTTTCCTATTTATTTATTTATTGATAGCATCTCACCCTGTCGCCCAGACTGGACTGCAGTGGCATGATCTCGGCTCACTGTAACCTCCACCTCCTGGGTTCAAGTGATTCTCCTGCCTCAGCCTCTTGAGTAGCTTGGATTACAGACATGCGCCACCAAGCCCAGCTAATTTTTGTATTTTTAATAGAGACAGAGTTTTGCCATGTTTGCCAGGCTGGTCTCGAACTCCTGACCTCAGGTGATCCACCCGCCTTGGCCTCCCAAAGTTCTGGTATTATAGACGTGAGCCAACACACCTGTCCTCTTTTTCAATTTTCATTCTTGAGATATAATTCACATAATAGGAGATTCATGTTTTTAAAAGTCAGTGTTGTGATTTTGAGTGCATTCACAATGTTGTGTAGTCATCATCACTGTCTAGTTCTAGAACATTTTCATCACCCAAAAAAGAAACCCTGTACCTGCTGCTATCAATCTCTCCCACCCACAACCCCTCCAAGCCCCTTCCCACCACCCATCTACTTTCTGTCTCTCTGATTTTCCAGTTGTGGACATTTCCTATAAATGGCATCATCCAATATATGTTCTTTCGTGTCTGGCTTTTTTCATTTAGCATAGTGTTTGCTAAGTTGATCTGTGCTGCAGTGTGTGAGTACTTCATTCCTTTTTATGACTGAATAATATTTTGCTGTACAGATACACTGCATTTTGTGTATCCCCTCATTAGCTGATGGACATTTGGGTGTTTCCACATTGGGGCTATTTTGAATAATGCTCCATGAGCATACATGTATGAGTTTTCCTGTTAACACATACTTTCTTGGGTGGAGACCTAGTCGAGGAGTTGATGGATCCATTGGGAATTCTGTTTAATTTTTTGAGGAATAGCCAAATTGTTTCCACAGATGCTGCCCCATTTAACATCTCATCGGTAATGTATGAGGGTTACCAATGGCTGTTTTCCTGGTTTTTGTTTTTCTATTTTAAAATTGTGGCCATCCTTGGGGGTGTAAAATGGTGTTCATTGTGGTTTTATTTATAATCCAGAAATGACTAATGACGTTGAGCATTTTTTTGTGTGTTTATTGGCCATTTGTATATCTTCTTTGGAGACATGTCTATTCAGATCTTTGCCCATTTTAAATTAAGTTGTCTTTGTTGCTGAAAGTAGTATTTTTTTGTGTCATAATTAGTTAAATTAGCTAAAGATAAATGATTTTTACTCATATCACTACCTTTTGCAAAGACATTTTCACCTGGCAAAATATATAAGAGACAACCTAATGGCTGTCTTATATGCTGGGTTTCTATTGCCACATCTATAAACGTTCTCTTGAGGTGAACAGTAATCTTACTGAGTTGAACAGGGAGAAATTCACGATGAGGATTAACTTGACTTGCTCACAAAATGATGTTATAGGCCAGGTACAGTGGCTCACGCCTGTAATCCCAACACTTTGGGAGGCTGAGGCAGGCAGATTACCTGAAGTCAGGAGTTCAAGACCAGCCTGACCAACATAAAGAAACCTTGTCTCTACTAAAAATAAAAAATTAGCCGGGTATGGTGGCGCATGCCTGTAATCCCAGCTACTCGGGAGGCTGAGGCAGGAGAATTGCTTGAACCTGGGAGGCAGATGTTGCAGTGAGCAAAGATGGTGCCATTATACTCCAGCCTGGGCAAAAAGAGTGAAACTTTGTCCAAACCCCCCCCCCGCCGCCAAAAAAAAGATGTTATATTCACTAACATTACTAACAAGAAAAGTGATCTCCATGTCTCAGTTTTAGCATTTCCGTATAAAATAGTAGAATCTTACTTGCACTTATCTTTTGAGCAAATTTTCCTATCTTGTTTCCAATCTTGTTGAAGAATTAACATCCCACCAAGGTTTAGGGGGCTGTCGCAAATGTCACATACACAGTTCCTTCAGGAGCATCTGTGTCTCGTGATAGGTTATTCTTAGTACTTGCAGCTCTGGGAGGCAGATCCTATGCACTGTTTAAATACAGGGAAACAGGCTAGGCGTGTGTGTGATAATTTGCTCAAGGTGGCACAGCCAATAAGTGACAGGAATGGAATGAAAATATTATTCATTTATTTAGCATCTTCTACAGAGGTGGACTCAGAAGTTAAGAAAATGACCCTGGGTCACACAAAAGTTATCAACTTGAGCTACAGTTTGAATGTACACAGGCCTGATTCCAAAACTGCCACCTGCTCTGAGGTTACACCTTCTCTCCTGGCATTTTTGTTAATTCATACCATATTTCTCATTTGAAGTAAAAATCCATCTAAGCATGGTGACATGCGTATCTCTGCGTTCTCTCCTTGCTGTGGGATTTGACTTACCTCACTCCTGGGATAGCAGGCTTATTCTTCTGCATTCAAATATTTATGCCAATATGTTATATGTCAAGATAGCTTTTCTTTCTTTCTTTCTTTCTTTTTTCAGATGGAGTTTCCTTCTGTCGCCCAGGCTGGAGCGCAATGGGTGATCTCGGCTCACTGCAACCTCCGCCTCCCAGGTTCAAGTGATTCTCCTGCCTTAGCCTCCTGGAAAGCTGGGATTACAGGCATGCACCACTATGCCCAGCTAATTTTTGTATTTTTATTAGAGACAGGATTTTGCCATGTTGGCCAGGCTGGTCTTAAACTCTTGACCTCAGGTGATCCCCCGGCCTCGGCCTCCCAAAGTGCTAGGATTATAGGCGTGAGCCACCACACCCGGCCAATATAGCATTTTAGCATGGATTTTTACCCTGAAACTCAGCTGTAAAACATTATGTAATACCAACAAGATGAAAGCCCCCTGTGAATGTAGGAGGCTGAATGGAAAGCTGGTGAAGGACCAGGCGTAATAAGTGAACAGGCAGCTGTCCCCAGTGCATTCTGTGACGACTTCCCCATAGTTTGTGGTTTCCCCGTATCTTGAAGCTAATTAAACTTTGAGATTCAGATTCATGAGGCCTCAATTCACAGAAACTGTGAGTTACAGTTCAATGGCATCCCCTGCAAAAGATTGAGGTCTTAACCCCTCGTACAGTGAACGAGAACTTATTTGGAAATAGGGTCTTTGGGGATGATCAAATTTTGATGGGGTCACTAGGTGAGCCCTGTTCCAACAGGATCATGTCCTCACAAAAAGGTGGAATTTGGACACCGAGACATGTGCACAGGGAGAATGTCACGTGAGGGTTGGGATGATATTGCCCCAAACAGGAAAACCAAAGATTGCCAGCAAACCACCAGAACCTGGGGGAGAGGCCTGGAACACACACCCCAGTGGGCTCAGAAGGAACCAACCTCGCTGACACCTCTGTCTCAGACTTTTAGCCTTCACACCCGGGAGACAACACTGTTCTGTCATTAAAGCCCCTTTGTGGCACGTTGCCATGGCAACCCTGGGACACTCACACACTAACTCACAAACCAAAACATCAGCGGGGTTAATTTGCTGTTAGAGTTGTACCTGCCAAGAGCGCTTTTATTTGTGTCTGCTGTCTAGGCCTTCCACCCCACGTCGGAAAACCAGGGCAGACACGGGTGGCTGCACTGCCTGCTGAAAGAGTGAGGTCCCTGCCACCAGCGTCCCTTGGGGTCTCCTATTTTCCATGCTTTCTTGGCTGGCCTGGGCCTTGTGGGAGGACACCATCCTTATGTGAATCCATTGGCTGCTTTGTCCAGATCTAACTCTGGCCAGGACAGTAGTCTGTCTCTTTAAGTTTCCTTTTTATATACTGATATTCATCCATAACAAATCCACATTACAGTTTGACTTACAGGTGAGCCATATTTCACTGGGGAGGGTGTCTTCTGTTGCTTCCAGTTTTCTGATTATTTCTTCTGAAAACCAAGGGTTATTCATCATCCAATAAATTAGTATTCCTAAGTATCAGGCCCAGTGCTAGGCTCTGGGGATTCAGAAATCAACACGTTGGATAAAACTCTCTGCCTCCATGGTGTTTTCATTCTAGTAGGGTGTGGTCAGCAGAATAATGGTCCCCCAAATGTTCATGTCTTCATTGCTGAAACCTGTAAATATGTTACCCTACATGGCAAAAAGAACGCCGTGGATGTAAGCTGAGGACCTTGTGGCGGGGAGTTTGTCCTGGGTTATTTGGGTGGGCCCAATGTCTTCGTAAGGGTTCTTATAAGAGAAAGGCCAGAGTCGGAGAGAGGTTTGAAGGTGCCATGCGGCTGGCTTTGAAGATATTAGGTTGGTGCAAAACTAACTGTGTTTGTTACCAGTAGTAACTGCAATTACTTTTGCACCAACCTAATAAAAGGGGAGCCATGAGTCAAGGACCATGGGCAGCTTCTAGAAGCTGAAGAAGGTGAGGCACAGGCTCTCCCCTGGAGCTGCAGAAGGATCAACTCCTGCTGACACCTGGGATTTGAGGCCTTTGGATCCTAGAACCGTAAGAGAATACATTTGTATTATTTGGGGACACCAAGTTTGTGGCCATTTTTTACAGTAGCAATGGGAAACGAACACATAGGAGAGGCAGACAATGAAGAAATAACTGAAGAAAGTGCACATTACGTCAGTGGAATCATGTTCCATGGAGAACAATGATGCAAAGAAGGGAGAGAGTGAGGGGTGGGAGTTACAATTTAAAACGAGGCTGGGGAAGGCCTGGCCCGGAGGGGATGCTGGAGCAAAAACATAGAGGAAAGGAAAGATGGAGCTGGGCAGTCCCCTGGGGCACAAGTGTCCTAGGAAGAGGGGACTGCCAATGCAAAGGCCTCCTGCGTGGCTCCTCGTGCTATGGACATTCTGGGCCAGATCATTATCTGGGGGGCTGTCCTGGGCATTGTAAGATGTTGAGGTGGCCTCTGCCCACCTGTGCCTGTAACCCCTCCCATTAGTTGTGACACCCAATCATTGTGTGACAGGACATTGCTGTTGTACGAGGACAAAATCACCCATGACTGACAGCAGCTGCTTTAAAGGGACCAGAGAAACATGGCTTAGGCATGAAATCTTCTGGGATGCTGGCATGATACAAAGCCAAGCTCCGGCAACTCCCGAGGAACAAATGGATGCTCTGATGTTTGCATTCAGGGAATAGCAGCATCAGCCTCCTTGGGGTACCAGAGAAAAGCAGAATCCCATGACACACCGCAGCCCCACCAAATCAGGATGTACGCTGCAGCAGAATCCCCAGGTAGGCGGTAAGTATGCACATCAGATTTCAAAGGCGCTGGTTCAGAGATCTCTGTGCCGTCCTTCTCAGCTACAATGGTGGTGGACGCTCCACCAATTAGGAGTCAGATATCCTGGGGTACCCACCTGAGTTTTCAGCTCAGGGCTGTGTAGAGCTGCCTCAGGGCAGGTGCACAAGCTTTGAGGTCAGACTGTCTGGGTTCAAATCCTCACTCTTTGTAGTAGCACTGTGACCACGGCAAGGCACCCAGCACCTCTCAGCCTGTTTCTGTATCTCTGTAATGAGGCTAACGATAGAACTAGTCTCTACTCCATGATGTTTACTGTCAGCGGTAAGTAGGAGAGCCCATCTAACGTGTTTGGCTCACTGCTTGGCACTCCAAAAGTGGCCAACCTTTGTTTTTAAGATTATCTATCTGTCTGTCTGTCTATCCAAAGGAGGTAGCTGGTGCAGGCAGGAAGTAGTGCTTCAGACAGAATTAAATGAGATGACTGTCAAGTGCCCAATTCAGCGTCTAGTATAAAACAAACACTTCATGAATGGCAGTAATTAGTATTATCAGAGTATTTCTTTTGAGAAAATGAGCAGTGGTAAAGGGCTTAACAATGGGCGACATTCTCAGCTGCTTACTCCGAATTATACTCTTACGGCCAGAACGTCCTTGGCTCCTTGGCAGTAATTGTCAAACCAAGATGGGAACAGTCAGTCCTTCCACTCCCTGAGCCTGGGCCAAGCAAGGCAGGTTTCCATCTGCTTGTGACCTGTTAGCACACACAGAGATGGTGGAGAGGTTTGTCTCACATGGCAGCTCTTGTGGGAGCTCTTATCGTTTTTGCAACATCAGAGTTGGTGATGGTGCCTGAAGGATAGCCGAAATCCCAAGCCCTGAGTTCAGGTTGTCCCAGGGCTGGCTATTTCAGCAGTTCAATGATATTTTCTAACACCCAGGTTCCTTTCATATGTCCTTTCTGCCATTCTTAGTGTGTGGGTTGGCTCTCCTCAGGGTATCAGAATGGCTGCAGTCACTCCAGGCATCACATCTTCACTGAAATTCAGAGGTAGCAAAGGAGAGCCATATGGTCTCTATGTCTTTTTTTTTTTTTCTTTTTTTTGAGATGGAGTTTCGCTCTTGGAACCCAGGCTGGAGTGCAATGGCGCGATCTCGGCTCACTGCAACCTCCGCCTCCTGGATTCAGGCAATTCTCCTGCCTCAGCCTCCTGAGTAGCTGGGATTACAGGCACGCACCACCATGCCCAGCTAATTTTTTGTATTTTCAGTAGAGACGGGGTTTCACCATGTTGACCAGGATGGTCTCGATCTCTTGACCTCGTGATCCACCCGCTTCGGCCTCCCAAAGTGCTGGGATTATAGGCGTGAGCCACCGTGCCCAGCCGTCTTATTTTACAACATAATTTTTTTTTCTAAAGCCCACCCACTCTCTCCTCTACAAAAAGTCTTTCCCTTCATCCTCATTGGTTTTAATTGTGACATGGCCTATCCTAAGCAACTTGCAGGCAACGGGAGTGGTTGATTTTATGGTTGATACTAATTTCTCTTAAAGCTGGGGATAGGGCAGTCTTTTCTGAGCACATAACCATGAGATAAAAGGTGCCATCCAAGCAAAACCAGGGTTCTGCCAGCAAGATGATAAGATATTGATCTGTAGAGCTTACCTGCAGTATCTCCTTCTGAGGCCTTCACCCCAAATCAGACCTTTTAATCTCTGATTCCAGCATCCAATTATACATACTACCAGATGCAGGAAAAACAGAATTAAGACAAGGTCTGGATTTCAGGGGGAAGCGGTCATTCTCAATACTTCTGCAGGAAATTCTTCACTCTATGACAGCAACCAGATGGCAGGAAGGCCACACATCTCCCCTTAGGTTGATGGGGCCCTGGTTGAGAACCCTGAGCTGGGCCCACACCAAGATTTCTATCCATCCCAGGATTTCTAATCAGTTAAGGCATCTCTTGGGAAGAACTCCATGGAAGAGACTAGTGGGCTGAGACACCCAAGAAAGGCTCCGGGAGAGACAGCCAGTGTCAGATAAAAAGGATTCTGGGACGGCATAGCATCAGACGCTCAGATAATCCCGGGGCTCTTTGAAACCTGTGTTCCTTAGGTGCAAAAGCAGACACAGAGGAGTCAGGCTCCCGAAATATCTGCTGAACATTGAGAAGGGGGTGGAGCCAGCTGGGGTCACCAATGTTTGGGGTCAGCAGTTTGGGCCATCATGCTGATCATGATGATCAGCCTCTCGAAAACCTGCAACACTGGCATTGCCTCCAGGAGTCAGGGCAGGACAGGAACTGGAGGAGGCTGATGACATGTAGATAATGAACCTCCCTCCCTGCCCCAGGAAATCTCAGAAAGAGCTGGAGAAGGATTTTGAGGGGGACAGAATTATTCACATTGCAGGTATCAGGACGACAGAGTAATATGCTTTGGGAACACATCTTGCTTCCAGTTCTACTCCAAGGATGGTGTAACTTGCAATGTTGGATTTGGTTACATTTGTGACTTTCTCTTTGGTAAAGTGATGGACGCTTTGCGCTGGAGTCAAGCACCTCACTTGATCATTTAGGCCTTACTCACCTGTTAGAACACCAGCCCTCTGAGGACAAGCACACGTTGCCTATATTACAGTCTCCCCAATATTGCGGGTGTCACAATTGGTTGTGCATATTGTTTTTGAAAGCCTTTTTTACACAATGAACACAGCATCCCAGCACACTTCAAATTACATAGCAATGAGAAGTTTCATTCAATGTAATAATGATTCAAACACATATTTATGAAATAAATTGTTGCATGATCCTTTTAAATGTTCCAGTTGTAATTTTTTTAGTTGTTCTGAGGCATGGGCAGTTGAAATTAACTGCACAGTGAGTTAGCATTTAAGGAAGTGGAAACACCCAGGAGTAGCCATTAGAAGAATGAGAATTCTGCAAACCGCAGATAGAGGAGGTTGTTCTCCCCCACAGTCACTTACTGGAAACTTCCACTAAAGATTCT